AGATATCTGTGATTAGTCAATCAAGTTAGCTTGGTTTATATATCGGTTTTTTATAATATAATTAGGATTATAAATACTTTGTTTTCGCATGTTTTTAATTTTCATTTTATTTATTGTTTCCTCATAAACATTATACTTTACAAAAGTATAACGTCTATGATAAGAAAAAAGTTTTAGGTCTGAGGCACACTTGTGTCAATTGTTACAATTTAATCAAAAAGTTCTTTAAATAATCAAAAAACAACTAACTACATTATTAAAAGGTACTCCAGTAAAATGAAAATTTTTTAATGAATATCTGATAGCAATTTTTGCTTATTGCAAGAAATAATTGTATCACACCCCTCACTTGTAATTTCTGTATATATCACAAAAAGAAGCGAAAATTGTTACATAAAATATCACATCCCCCTATAGACTTTTATAATATTACATTTCCCTAAATAATTTATACAATATTTCAAACAATTAGTATTTGGTATCTAGAATATCATATTGCCCCCTGTGTAATCTTTGTGTATATCACAAAAAGAAACTGAAATTCTTACATAAATATTACATTCCCCTATCAGGGATCATCTTTTTCCGGATATTTCCGGAATTCCGGATTAGTTTCTTAACTTTTAGTTTTTCGGGATATCCAAAACATTTTCCATAAATACAAGTTTAGGTATATTTTTTTGTAATATATTTGTTTTTTAATCATTTTCACTCATCACTTATAGAAAAATTAAGAGAGGTTTGTACAAAAAATTTAAAACAACTCAGCTAAAAGCAAATTTAAGAGGAAAATATATTCCAGATATTTTACCCAAACAATTTTTCGGTTTTTTAAAGTATGACCTAAATGATCTATGCCCTATGCAGGTTTCTAAAATATTGCAAACGATTAGTATTTGGTATCTAGCATATCACATCCCTTGTGTGTAATTTATTTTTTTCACTATTGTCACGCGATATATTACAATCAAATTTTATAAGTATGAATTTAAAATAAATTACCGTCTAAAGCTAACTTCATTTATGGTATATTATTAAAAAAAAATTTTAATGAATCTCGTTGCGTTTTAAAAAATTATTGTGCATTGTATTCATACTGCTATCATGGCGCCAATATTTTAGCTACACGTAATACTCATACGTAAAAATCGTATATTTTTAAATTTACAAATTGTTTTGAACATGGATTTATTTTCATAAAACCATGTTTTAAAAGTAGATTTTTTATGTTTATAGTCATTTACCTTAAATGCAAAGGTAATAAAAAGATATTACAAAGAAACTTTTAAGTTCATTTCATACTAAAATTTTCTTGAACCTAAATGGTAATTGTTTTAAATTTTACTTGCAACTTTCACATAACATTTTTTGGAAGCATTAATAACTATAGGTAGGTGCAGTTTTTAAATGAGACCCAGCGGGCAAAGGTGCCTTTCGAACGTCTTAATCAGATCGTGACGTCTCCAAGTTAAGATGTTTCTAAGACATTTTTTCATGAAGAGTCAAATAACTTTTAGAGTCTTTAATAACTTTTAAATTTCCAATCGGGAATAACTCAAAATCTACTCGATTTTCATAAAGGTCTATATAACTATTTTATAAAAAAGGGTTTATTTAGATGATTGTGAATTTTACAGGGCGTGTTTTGATTATTCATAAACCATGTTTTATACTCTTTTATTTTCTTATTTTAAGTAATAATTATAAATCATTCATTAATTATTTATAATTTATAAATTACTCTAAATAAATAGTTGATAAGTTTCTTCTCCAATGGAATAACAATAACTCCGAGTGAATGATATTTTATTGGAATGCCAACGAAATGAAATCAGATTGGAATTCGATTGAAATGGTAAATTATTTAAATAATAATAAAAAAAGACATTAAACTGCATACAATTATATAAATACGATCCTATATATTTACATATAATTTCATCATAATATTTACATAAATGAAATTACTAATAAAAAAAACTAATTAGTCTCTCAATTACATAATAGAAAAACAATTAAATTAAATATGATTAAAAACAACGAATATTTAGTATAATTAGAATAACTAGTGTTATTTGATGACCCTGTCATATGAAAAGAAGCCACTGTGAAGTTGACACTTTGCAATAATTTGTTAGCGTTGATATCCATATCATTCACCTTAGTTTCGTCAACCTATAAAAAAATGATAAAAAATATATAATGATTTTATAAAATGATTGTTTTAATTATTTAAACATTTAAGGACAACTTGCGCCAGTACTCTAGTCCCACCCCTCTCTAATAAAACCTATTATTTCCTACCCCATTTGCAAGTTGTAAACGAAAAAGAATGAAAAATTTGTAAATTGGTGGATATTACTACATTTTATTATTATTTTAATTGTTCTCATTATGTTTGAATGATTTTTTGATGTTTGAATGGCTTCGGATTTTTACCTGAATTGTTCTAATAAGTAACTTGAATGGCTTTGGATTTTTGCTATGTGTCATCATTTGGAAAGGCATCCCTATATAAACAAGAGGATTAGCTGCTCCAAAGAGACTTATCCATTGTCTATCAAGGCAACTCGTCCATATTTTTGTTGTTCCGACCAATCTTTGGATGGACGAAGTCATATTGCTGAGAGTCATTCTAATAAATAATAAAAAAAGCCTTTCATTAGGTGATCTAAAAAAAAAGTGTCCAGTACAATTTAAACAAGTTGAAATGTGTTTATTGAAATATAAAATATCCTCTAAACGTTTCTTACAAATAATTTGTAAAAAAGTCTTTTTCATTTATAATTCGTCCACCGCCATACCGTGACCAGGCATTTTTAAAGTAACTGGTTATTCGTGTTTTGTTCAGTTCCTGAAAATAAAATTTTTCTCAATATACCATATCTCAATTTTATATGACTTTTTATTTAAAAATACAAACTCCCATCAAACATCAAATAATTTTAACTCTATAACTTAAACAGTAATATCTCGAAATACGAGGTGAATAATACACGGGAGGGAACGCTTATTCGTTTTGAGAAAATTGTACCACTCACTCCCCCTCCCCCATTTAATAATTTTGACTTGTTACCAACAAACTTTATATCAAGACAAAAAAAACTTTCAGTGTAAACTGGCCTTAAAAATTGGAAAATATAAAAATGATAAAAATAAAAACTTTTAGAGTAAACAGACTTTAAAAACCATTGAAAACTTTCATTGACCTATGAAAAAATCTTGTAAATCTTGATTTGGTCAAAAATGAGTTTTTGGTTTCACTACTAAGTACGTAATACTCCTAACAGCTTTATTTAGATTTATGAGAGATTGTGAAGGGATCGTCCGTAAATTACGTACATAATAAGGCAAACTTTCACAATAAACAAAACAAAAAAAGTTTTCCTTTGCAGAGTCTTAATTTTATTAAAAAATTAAAACAGCACATTAAGTTTAATGAAAATCGCCGCGTAGAAGTGCTTAAAAATATAAGTGCTTAATACCTCCTGCTTTTGTTATTTAAATATTTTTCGTTGCGTAATTTATGAACGATTCCAAACCAGAAAAAGTATTTATGAAAAAAATACATATATATATGTAACAACAAAGCAGAACAACTTCTTCCTCTTTATATCACAAATTGAACTTTTTTGATATAATGATTAACTCATATGTAAATAATGAGTTAATTATTATATTAAGTAAATAGTAAATTTGATACTTCAACGTTTTATAAAAAAACTTACACAGGTTTACTGACTAATTTTACCGGCTTCACTAATATTAACTATAAATTAGAACTCATTAAAACTCTGATTGACAGGGCAAAATCAACAACAACTGGGTTTTCATCTAGATGTTTTAAAAATTGAACAAACTCCTCAAAAAAACTCTTTCCCCTTGAACTTAATTGACAAAACATTAAAAATGTTACTAAAGAACCTTATCTCTCCTAAAGAAAACATCATCTTCAAAACTATCTGATATACATTACTTTAAACGCCCTTACATTAGACAAATTTCAAATACACTTCAACACCAATTAAATAAATATATTAAAAATTATTGTAAAGATAATATAAAAGCAAGACTAGTTTTTATACCTTTTAAAATAAGTAGTATGTTTTCATCAAAAGACACCTTGCCTTCAAATTTAAAACCCTTTGTTTTCTATAAATTTGTTTGTTCAAGCTGTAATGCTAGAAACATTGGTGAAACCACCAGACACTACACAACAAGAATTTCACAACCCTTAAAATTCAGATAAGGCTTCCCATATTAACAAATATCTTAATTCATCACAAAAATGCAAAAGTTCAACAAATACTGTTTGCTTTTCCATTATTGACAGAGCTTCCTCCAAGTATGAACTCAAAATTGACTCAAACTCAAAACTCCAAGTATGAACTCAAAGAAGGAAGGTTTCCATATTAAGATGGAAAAATCTCTTCTTAAATACACAATTAAAATCATACACTATTACTATGACAATATAATTTCTCAATTACCTTACTTTTTATTTCCTATTTTGTTGATTATTAATTACTTCACACCTTTTGTATAATCTTTTGTAAAATTTTAAGGTAACTATTTATTTTATAAAATGTAAATATGGTAACTATTGCAAAAACTATTTAATTTTTAATGTAGCCAAAAAAATTGTTTATATACAGAAATTGTAAATAATTTTTTATATCTGATGATGTCAATTGATAATGATGAAACATGTCGTCAAAAGGTTTTAAAAACATTGTTATTTATTTGAAAATTATTACTAAATTAGTGCTACTTATTTGTATAAATAAAATTGTTAAAATTATTGCAAAACATTTTTTTAAATGTAAATTTTTTTATATAACTTATTTGTAACTGAAAAGCGTGAACTAAAATAGAATTTAAAATGGTAGCAAACCTTTTTTTAGTAGTTACTAAAAAGACTATAAAGCCTAAATAAATTAATTTTAATTTTCAAAATGATCCTAAAACCAAAGCTCATTTATTACACTTTCTGTATTGTAGTTTTTGAGTTTACCGTGGACAAAGAAAATGTCAACAAGGATATTTCAATCCTTTTTATTATTATAATAAATGAAATCATACCTTCACAAATGTGAGCCACGGTTTCAGCCATAACATTGAAGGCTTAATAGCCTCAATGTTTTGAAGGGTATTACCAGTCTTGTTTAATAAACCTTCAACTTTATTGTAGGTATCTTGCCAATACATAAGATCACCTTTTGACCATAAGTATTCAAATTGATTTTCTTCAGTGTTTAACCATGCATTCAGTGAATAAGCGTTTGTTACACTTTGGTATATACGATATCCTAAAAAAAATTTTTAAAACATTCTTGACTGGGTATGCTTATTAACTTGATCTGTTTTATCTAAATAAATAAATATACAGTCAGATGGGGTAATACAGTCAGATGGGGTAATATGGCTAGTTTTGGGCTAAAATCTGCTAAAGTTTTAAAGATGCAGTGTCCCACTCTACATACTTTTTATAGCCGAATGTTAACCTGACATTTTAATGTGTGTTACAAAAAAATTAAAATAATAATACTCTTGTTGTTAAATGTTTTTTGCTTGTCATTTTTTTATCTCTTTTCAGATTTTAAAAATGCTAACTATTGCCAAGCAAATACTTGAGAGGTAATAAGGCCAAAATTGCAACTAGACCTCTATGAGATACTTAGGTAAATAAATTTTTAAGCCCAAAGCATTTACTTTAAGGTAAGTGGGGTAAATGGGTTATTTTAAAAATTGGGGTAAAATGGCCACTTATTGATTTGGTTAATAAGTTTGTCAATCAGTTGCAATATGTCATACACATACAAACCAAGAAAGGTTATGTACACAGTAATTACCCATAGAGTGAGTGGACAAGACTATGAAGGCCATTGCTGCTGGTATTCTAGTTAAAAGGGTCTTTAAGACCAACAAAGTTTCCAAATCAACTCTTAGAAATTATCTAGGTGGTAAGACCAAAAATATGTGGACACTTTGTTAAACTGCTATTTCTGCTAAGTAAGAGCTTGTCATTACTCAAAATAGAGCAATGAAAAAGCACTTCATCACAAGGATGAAGTGCTTTGGGATCTAGCTGCCTTAAAATACTTCATTAAATGTATCCTTCACAAACAAAAGTAAACTTCTCTGGGCAAGATTAGGCTCACCGATTTTTGAAAAGACACCACAACCTAATTTTACAGAGAATTGGTCAAAAAACTTTAAGAGCTGTGTGTAAATTTTAAAGTAAACAATAGCTTGTTGTTTATTTTCATCAATCTGAACAACCTGATCAAGGTCATTTTCTTTCTAATGTAATGAACTATGATAAGACTGATCTCAGCAAAAACTCTGGCTCCAAGAAAATACCTTGTGGCCTTTATGATTTACAGAAAGGCCACAAGGTATCTAGATACCATTATAAAGATTGAAATGCCTCTGCAATTTGTTCGGAATTTTTGTATTTTATTGTATTTGTATTTTGAACTTTGTTTTAAAAATCTAGTTTTAGGATTTGAAGGATACTTCCTTTAATTTCATAAACATGTATTGCAATGCTTTGTTATTTAAATTAGGTTTTTATATCAAGTGGCCCAACTATACTATACTTTGATATTTCAAAATGATTTTCATTAACAAACTTCATTTAAAATTTTAAAGTCACATTGATTTTCACATATAATGTGTATCTTATATGAGTAATTCTTAAATAAATTTCACAAACTTTTTTTTCTTGAATAAATTTCACAAACAAAGTTCTTATTAATTTTTTAGAATTTTATTTGATAATCTAGTTTTGTGATTTGCGACTTTCATTAATTTCTTAAACATGTATTCAATGTTTTGTTGTTTAAATTAGGTTTTTTTTGCTCTGAGGCTAAATCACCCCATTTTTGGATTTTTCAAAAAAAATTTTTATAAGTTGTGGTTCAAGTTTTAATGCTACATAGCTGATTTTCACATATGTGCATCAAGTTTATATAGCTCTTGTATTTAGCAAATTATTGAAAAAAAAAGTTCAAAATGTGGCCATATTACTCTATCTGACAGTATATATATATATATATATAATATATATATATATATATATATATATATATATATATATAGTATATATATATATAATATATATATATATATATATATATATTTTTTTTTTTTGTGTATCCCAGCCGCCCCTTATATTCTAAAAAAAATCTGTTCATATTCTTAAATTTTTTTATCAGTTCTCACAACCAACTCGGTTAAATTTTTTCAAAATTTTATTGGATTTAGGGGGAGCACAAGATCTTTGAACACTTACTGGGTTGCTAATATTATAAAAAAATGTCTTTTTTAAAAGTATGTCATGTTGGGTCTCAAAAGAAGCAAAATTATATAAAATTATAATTTTAAAAATAACAATCATTTTATAAAAAAAAAATTATTATTTAAGATTTTTCATCATCAAAAAAAACACTTCTTTCATTTTTAGTTATAAAAGGTTTTTTTTCTGCAATAAACTCT